TCATTATATTTCATGTTTCATTTATTATATACTTAAAAATAAAAAAATAAAAAATTTTACTATGGTTATATATTTTGTCCACATGCATTATACAAAATATTTTATTTTTGTTTTTTAAAAATTTTGTGTTGAATTATAAACAATAGTGAAGACCTAATCTAGTTATTTATTATACCTAAGTAATTATTTTTTGAAAGAAATTATACCTAAGTATTTAATATCCACTACTTTCTTTAAAATTTCTATTGGCACAAACATTATTTAGGCCCTCTTCTTTTGAGCTTCTGGGCAGAGCAGAGCAGGGGTCAACAGAGGAGAGCAGATTTCAGCAGAGCAGATTTTAACATTATTATTATTATTATTATTAAATATTAATTATTAATTTTATTATATTTAATATTGTTATTATTATTATTATTATTATTATTATTATATTATTGTTATTATTATTATTATTATTTTTATCACTATTATTATTACCGCATTATTATTATTATATATTATTTATTCATTTATTTATTATTATTATTATTAAATATTATTATTATATATTATTTATTCATTTATTTATTATTATTATTATTATTAAATATTATTATTAAATGTTAATTTTAATTATCTTTAAATATTAGTTATTATTATTAAATATTAATTGTTATTATTAATTATTAGTTATTATTATTATTAATTATTAATTATTATTTTTAAGTAGAGCAGAGCAAAGTAGAACAACTCAAAAGAACAACGCCTTTATTTTTGTTTTGAATAAACAATAGACTCCACTTTTTAAACTGAGGTACTATTTATATTTATAGTATTTATTTGTAAGCAAAAAAAAGTTGATATATTAAAAATATGCATACTTCATAATCAATTACTCTAATATGGAGTAAAATTTATTTGATTACAGTATATATATTCTTACATATAAATCACGAACTATGTCAAAGTGGAGTTTGTAAACAATGTCAAATTTTACCATGTAACCATTACTTCGATAAGAAAAAAAAACTTTATTTCCGTCAATTAAAGTTTCATTGATATGTGTCCACGTATAGTTATGTTATTGTATAAGAAAAAAACTTTACCCGGCCAAAATTAACTCGACCATAATAATTTGACTCGGATTAGAAATTGGATGATGTGATATTTTTCTAACCCTATATTAACTAGAATTATTGAATTGAACAATACTTGAAATTAGATGACCAAAACTAATTCATCATGTATAAAAATTGATTGAAATTAAATATAGTTATATATATTGCTTTGTTTCCACCAATAAACTAGTTTTAATGAGAAATTGTTATATATACCCGAGTGCACGGTACATCTATGAGCATTTTGCTCTTATTTTGATGATTTTTTTTTAATTTAATCATCAATTGAAGAGCAAAAATTAATTTTAGATTAGTTGGATGTACGGTACACCCTAAATGTGTATAAAATATTTTAAGTTTTAATAGGCTAGAAATTGACCTAACTTGAAAAAATTAGTGCTTAATGTCAAAATTCTTTGCTCAACCTGAAAGTTATTACTTACTTGACCCTATAGGAGAACATGAATCAAATACGGATGAGTAATTCATTTACCACCTGTCCACCTCTATTCGCATATTGATCACATGGTAGGGTAATTTCTTTGTAAGATTACACATAAATTCATAACAGTATCAACATCATGTCAAAATGGCATATGTATGTATATTTCTACTGTGGTACTAACTAGTCAGTAGTCACTACTTAATAAATTAATTATTTGTGATTTTCACTCTCATAAAATACTAAAAGACCACTTAGGGAATGCTTGGTAGGGGTGTTCTTAATTTGGATTAAAACCGAAATTCAATCCAATTCAAACCGAATTATCAATTCGGATCGAATTTGAATTTTAAATCGGATCAGATCGGATTGAGATTTTTTGAAAATCCAGATTTTCGGATTGGATCGGATTGACCCTAATTGGATCCAATTCAAACCGAAAACCAAATTGTAAAATTAAGCTTGTATAAATGTGGATTTCTTTGTTTTTTTTAAAGTTTAGCTCAAATACTTACTACTATATAAAATTAATTAGGGAGACTTTCTATTAATTAATTAATGACTTGATGTTGAACTATTTATTTTAATCATGATTTTGAAGACTTGTATTTATATTAAAGCTTAATTTTTATAATCGTATTAGGCGCTAAAAAAAAATATATTATAATTCTGATTTTCGGATCGGATCCAAATAACCGTATTTTAATTTGGATTGGATCGGATTGGATTGCGGGAGAAATTCGGATCGGATCGGATTGGAAAATTGAAAACCGAATTATATTTCGGATTGGATCGGATTTGGACTAAATCCAAAGCAAAAACCGAACGGACACCCCTAATGCTTGGATTGGGAGTAATATATTAAGGGGTAATAAAAGACCACTCAGAGTAGGTTTTGTTAAGACCACTTAAGCCAGGTTTTGTTGATTTTATTTTCACTTATTACATGAAAAATAAGTTTTGATAAGATAAGTTTAGGAAAAAAAGTTTTGATAAGCGTTACTCAAATTAAATTACGACTAAAATAAGTTTTAATAAGATTTAATAAATTGAAATAAGTTCAGGTAAATTTAAATAAGTTTATATACTACGTAACTAAAAATCTGGTGAATATAACACACCTCAAACTAGAGGTGTTAATTCGGATGATCGGATCGGGTCTAAGGAGGTCGGGTCGAGTCGGATCAATTTTTAAAGTTGAGTCATGCTAAATTAATGTCCACGCGAGTCCAAATCTGAATCGGATATTTTTCGGCTTGGTTTCGGATCGGGGGGTCGGGTGTGGTTTTGACACCTCTACCTCAAACACACAATAAAATGAGTATTCCATCTGTTTCGTAATAATTGCAATAGTAAGGAAGGGATAAAGATTTAGGAAAATTATAAGGTAGGGTCCAAAAAAGGAATTTTATAAAATAAATTATACTCCAATCCGTAGTTAGTGAGTACGTATATATATTATATATACGAAGTAATTGTTATTAGGAGAGAAAAATAATTAAAAAAAATAAATGTAAGTGGGGTTGGTAAGAGAGAGAAATAATATACTCCGTAGTAATAGTGAGTCCTTACCAAATAAGAAAGTATTACAATAATTATGGAATGGATCAGATTAAAAAGAAAAGTGTTGCGATTATTACAAAACAGAGGGAGGTTTTTTTTTTTTTTTTTTTTTTTTTTTTTTTTTTGAAATGAGTAGTCTACTAGTCTTTAATAATTAGGTTGTTAAGCCATTTTTGTACTCCTCATATCTCATCATTTGTACTCCGTATAATGACAAGTTAGAAAATAATGTATAGTTTGGTGAAAATTATATTTACATCAATATGAATTACTTTCTCCATTTTTTTCATATACTAACCCCCTCTTATTGTCGTTTTCTCCTATAAACTAACTTTAGCATCTTAAAGGATATGCTTAACATTAATAAAAATAATTAACCACATTGTCAATTCATCTCCCTTCAACTCATTCACACGTCATACAAATTACATCATATCAATATCTTTTATCATTCATCATCAATTTTTTCTTACATATATAAAAAAAATGGCAAATATACTTGACAACTATCTAATATCTAGCCACCAATCATTTTACTTATAAATTCATCCCCAAATTATTTGCTAATTTTGAAAAAAACAAAAAAAAAAAAAAACCCTTTAAATTTCATCAATGGCTACTTACACACCTCAAAAATTCTCAACCCTTCAAACCAAATTCCTTAACAAATCACCTCTTTTCCCCAAAACCACTGCACTCCTTTCTCTCTCCTCTTCCAAACCCACCTTTTCTTTACCCTCCTTAATCACCACCGCCGCCGTATAAAGCGCCGTCACACAGTTGCCGGCGCCGGAACCTCGCCGGAGACCGGAGTATACCCCATACAAAAACACATTTGAAAATAATTTTACTCATTATAAAAAGTAGTATGCTATATGAATATAACATTATGATTGTAAGTTCATAATCACAACAAGTAAGACTTCGCTCACATGGTAAGACAATTTACCTTTTCTAAAGGTCAAGATCCTTCTTTACAATACAAAGTAAAACAAATTTTATGCGAAAAGTATCCAATTAGGCTCATCGATTCAGTTGCAATAATAATCGATAGTTTATGAATAATCAATTAGGCATTTGGTGTTTTGACAAAGATGCTTAGACTATAAAAATATAATGTAAAAGTTGGTAACACATCATTATCAAAGAACCCTTTTGTTTATCGATTTACTATTGTGACTTATGAGTTAAGTGGGGAGGGTTATCAAATGGTATATATGTATAAAATATGGCGAATAATGCAAAGTCTAAAGTTAGATTAAGTATTAATGTAGCCTATGTAGGAATAAGATTAGGTTCGGTATAATTTATAATATTATCACATAGTACTGGATATGCAATATTAAACATCTCATCCTTTATAACAAAATGTAATTAGAATTAAAGAAATCAATAAACAAGAATATATAATTTACGTGGTTCACTAATGATGAGTTAGGCGCAGTTAGCTATGTCCACAACATGCCAATGGAAAGTTTTATAGATCTTGAGTATACAAATTACATTATAGTAGCTAGGTTAAACCCCAAAGAGTTTCTTGTTATAGTCATTTGAAGGGGGCTAACTGATTCAAGACATACTTAACATCACCCATTTTTCTTAGCTTCTTTAATTTGTTTGAAGAGATAAATACTTAACACATTGTTCCTTATATTTATCAAAATAATTGAGTTAAAATATCAAAAACATGGATTAAAAACGCCCTGAAAATTACATTAAGGTTGAATTGTCTGATATAGATATACGCTCTAACTCTTACAAGTGACTTAATCGTCTTTTTATAACGTGAGTTTTTTTTATTTTTACAGAATTATGAGATGAGTTTTAACGAGAAATGAAATAACATATTCCGTCTCCATACCATAATTTTATGATCCATGAAAGCATCGGTGATTCCACACTTCCCTCATTGAGCTCAAAATCTAAACCCCAAATCTTTTCATCCTTGACTAGTCAACCAGCCACGTAAGACCTAACAAGTCACATTGCCAGTGAAAAATCAAATATCGTTTCTTCATTGTTCTTATTTCAGGCGCCTTGCTCATCTTCTTCCATTAAAACCTCTGCAAAAACCTTCAATACCTTCATCAATGGCGACTTTAACAACCTCAAATCTTTCTCTCTCTTCCACCACAATCTCAAAACCCCTTTTCCCCAAAACCCCATTTACAACCCTCCTTTTTCTCTCCTCCCCAAAACCACTGGTCTCTCTCCTCTCTCTTTCCTCCAAATCCACCAACAAACCCGCCACTCGTTTCGCCTCCATCACTCGATGCTCCGCAATCCCACCTTGTACCCGACCCGATTACATACCGGGCAAAATCTCCGACCCAAATTACGTCAGAATCTTCGATACTACCCTTCGAGATGGCGAGCAATCTCCGGGAGCGTCAATGACTCCAAAACAAAAATTGGAGATTGCTCGCCAGCTCGCCCGCCTCGGTGTTGATATAATCGAGGCGGGGTTTCCAGCGGCCTCCAATGCGGACTTGGAGGCCGTGAAAACAATTGCCCTTGAAGTGGGCAATGCTGTTGATGAACAGGGGTATGTGCCTGTCATTTGCGGGCTTTCGCGGTGTAATAAGGCTGATATCGATGCTGCTTGGGCTGCAGTGAAGCATGCGAAGCGGCCGAGGATTCATACATTTATAGCAACGAGTGAGATACATATGGAGCATAAATTGAACAAGACTAGGGAAGAAGTGGTTGAAATTGCTAGGAATATGGTTAGTTATGCTAGGAGTTTAGGGTGTGAGGATGTTGAATTTAGCCCTGAGGATGCTGGCAGGTATGATTGTTTAGCATTGGTTTTTGTTGAATGTTAATTGGAATGTGAAATTTGGTATATTAGCTATAAAATTAATATTGAAGCTTTATGTTTTTAGAATTCTAGATGAAAGCTGTGAATGCAATAGTATGTTTGTTGGGATTTTGTATTAGAAATGGTTATTACTGATCCATAAACCCTTGCAGGTTGTCATTGAATCACTAAAATAGAATGAGTCACATTGCAGTGCTACAATATTGTATTATGGTTTCTGATTGGCATTATGATTACATTGGTGACTTAGCTCGTGCAAAATTAGCCCTAGTCTTGTTTGTTAAGGTCTTTAGGACATGATATCGAAGACAAAATTGAGAGGTTAGAGGCATTGAGCAAGTTGTCAAGCACCTCAAAGTCAGTATTGACGTTGATCAAAACCCTAATGGCCTAATGTGCTAGTCATATGTTGCACTCTTTTCATTTCTTCTATATAGAAGAAAGTATGGACTTTTGTCTCGCATAAATTTCTGTTTTGTAATTGGTTTATTCTTTGGCTTTGTTTCTTCACAGATCAGATAGAGAGTTTCTTTATCAGATTTTAGGAGAAGTTATTAAGGCTGGAGCAACCACTCTAAATATTCCTGATACCGTGGGTTATACAGTCCCTAGTGAGTTTGGGCAATTGATTGCTGATATAAAGGCTAATACACCTGGGATCGAGAATGTGATCATCTCTACACATTGTCAGAATGATCTTGGGCTTTCTAGTGCTAATACAGTAGCTGTATGTTTTTAAATTTTTAAATATGTAATTGCATTACTATAAGAAAAATAGGAAAAAAAAAGACCTCACATTGTATTGAAATTCAGGGAGCGTGTGCAGGTGCAAGGCAATTGGAGGTAACAATAAACGGAATTGGTGAAAGAGCTGGAAATGCTTCACTAGAAGAGGTGTGCCTTTATTGAATGAAAATTAAACTTTCTTCTTATTGATTTAGATAATTGTGACTTGGGATTAAGGTTTAAACCATGTATTTAATTTGATTATGTTCATTTGTTGTCATTCATCATTTTCAAAAGTAGGTTGTCATGACCATTAAATGTCGTGGGGAATCATTGGGCGGTCTTTACACCGGGATTCAGACAGAACACATTGTGAAGGCCAGCAAGTTGGTACTGTCTCAACTTCACTCCATAATAACTTTTCTTCACTAATGAATGCAGCTTGCATATAATTTTAATTCTCCCATTTTTTATTCTTTAGGTGGCTGAGTATTCAGGACTGCTTGTACAGCCTCACAAGGCTATAGTTGGAGCTAATGCTTTTAAGCATGAAAGTGGAATTCATCAGGTTCGTTACGGTTCGTTTGGTTAGCAACTCATAACACTCCTATGGAAGCTGCACTTTTATTACTTCGTATAAAGAATGTTGTCTAATGATGCCCAATTTTCCTGTTACAAATCTTCATTTATATCCATTGTTTAGCTTAACATAGGTTGTTTACTTGTCTACATCTTCTACAATAATTTTTGGTTCCTGCTAAAGCTATGGGGCTAAAGCTATGGAATTTATTAAACTACTCATGTACTCCTCTATATGCAGTAATGTGCCACTAGTTGAAATACTAAAGATGATTCAGCAGTAATTTGCCACTAATCCAAGTTCTGAAGCTATTTCAGCAGCAATGTGCTACTAATTGAAATACTGAAGTTAATAGTTGAATAATTCGCCTTCTATTTAGTTGAGCTCATTTCCAAATATTGCCGTGATGTTCCCTTGATTAAAATCCTGTAGTTAATTCAACAGCTCTTATGCATACAACACTTGCCCCATTCATCTTTATATTCTTTACTTTCTCTATACTTTAGTTTTTTTTTATTTAACCCTCACTTGTTGAGTACTTGAGATGTTCTTTTCTTAACCCTCCTTCGTAATTTAAAGAGTAGCCATAAACCCATAATATCTTAGCATCAAAATTTCATGTCCTTTGGACTTTATCTTTGTTCAGTTGGATACATGGTGAATTAATTTATACTGTATATTAATTGAGGTCTGTTTATGGTATTATAGCATGGAATGCTAAAACACAAAGGCACTTATGAAATTATGTCTCCAGAGGATATAGGGCTTCAGCGAGCTGATGAATCTGGTCTTGTTCTTGGAAAGCTTAGGTATGTAGTATTATGTGGCTATTTTCTTTTGATGGTCAAATTCCATTTAGCAGTAGTATTACATTCCTACAATTATTCATCCTATCTGAGTATTGTATTCATCTTTAGAGTGTGCATATTATCCTCTTACCTGTGTATTGTATTCATCTGTTCTCTCGATTATATCATTTCATATTTGACAGAAGTCATAGGCCTGTTCAAGTTAACAAAATGAATACTAGGAAGTTTATCAACGCTTATGTTGGCCCTAAGGACAACAACTCCTTTGAGTCTGTGATGCAATTGATACTCTTTATAAAGATACATCTCAAAGATTACTTAGAGACTGGTGGAATTAAGGCTATATAAGGAGCATAGAATTATCTGATTTGTTCGATTGTAAGCTGTTGCTATGTAAGACGGAGACCCTAGGGTGCACTAGTACGAAGAGTGGAAGAGTGGGACCATGGAGGGGTTAAACGAGAGAGAGGGAGACCGAAAATGACATGGTTGGAAGGAGTTAGGAAGGATATGAAGTATGTGGATTTGCATGAGAATGAGGCATTTGATTGTAAGGATGGAGGAGGAAGATTTTTGTGGATGACTATATGGAATAATCACTTTTGGTTCATGTAGCCGACCCACTTATGGGATTAAGGCTTTGATTGATTGATTGATTATGAATCTTAATGAAGGAACAAAGGCGTGTGGAGTTGTATGCTTTATGCTTAACTTGATTTCTTGTGCAATTTTTTTTTCCCATTTTCCATTACTATTTTTACAGTAATAAGAGATTATTGATTGATTTATATGATTGTGGCAGTGGACGTCATGCATTGCAAAAAAGGCTTGAGCAGGTAAGTGGTTATTTAGCCACTTTGTCAACTGAACTTCAGTTTACTTATGCCTTTAAGTGTGATGGGTTTCCTATTTCTTCCAGATGGGATACTGTTTTGAAGGCAAGGAACTTGATGATGTCTTTTGGCGCTTTAAATCAGTCGCCGAGAAGAAAAAGGTAAATAGGAATGTTTCTTTTTAATAAATTTTATGATGCTACCTGATCCTGGGTCTTTGACACGTTGCTACAAGCTGTTGCCTGTTGGTGGACAATTTATTGAAATTTCCTAGATGCTTAGGTTGCAAATTTAAGTCTGTTTGACAATCATGTATAACTAAGAGTATTTGCTACTTGTAGTCGTGATGCTATTCTGATGTTGGATTGAATATCCATCACATATATGATCTCATATTTTTCCTTAACCATCCTATGTTTATTGTCTTTTTTACACTAATTCACCAGCATGTCTTGGATGAGGACATTGAAGCCTTGGTAATCGATGAACTTTTCCAGCCGGAATCAGTATGGTCACTTGGGGATCTCCAGGTAATTTGTTGAGCAAATATATGGCTCTTTGTTTTGCTATATTTCCTTTTTGATTCTGTGATTCTTGAAGAGCTCCTTAATTTGGATATTCCTTGGGTTTTGGGTAGGTTACATGTGGAACTCTTGGACTTTCTACAGCAACTGTTAAGCTCATTGATGCTGATGGGACGGAACATGTTGCTTGTTCAGTTGGAACTGGACCAGTTGATTCTGCATATAAGGCTGTTGATTCAATAGTCAAGGTTTGTAGCAGAGAATATCATTCGCTAATGTACAACAGTAGAATTTTACCTAGCTCACTGAGGATTCATATTATTTTTTTGAAGTCTCTTCTGTTTCCTTTATATATGGTATCAAAGCTAGCTAATTTGTCAACTGAACATGTTGATTGTTCAATATTTTTTAAGAAAGAAAAGGCGTATCATCAATACCTGGTTTATCAATATTATTTTCAATCTTAGAGAAAGCTTGAAAAGATGGTTAATTAACAAAATGTTGGAATTAGAAGGTTTCCTTAGGGGTGCCTTGCAGTTTAACAATAGAGCTCTCTTCATAAACAGGTACCTGTGACTCTACTTGAGTACTCACTGACAGGTGTGACAGAAGGTATAGACGCAATAGCTACCACCAGAGTATTAATACGTGGGGATAATGGTTTCACAACTACGCAAGCTACTACTGGGGAGCAAATTCGCCGAACATTCAGGTATGAAGTTGTAATTTGTTCATTCATTATTGGTGACTTCAAATGCACTTTTTTCTAATCATTATTATTTTTGTACTCTTGACTGCAGTGGGAGTGGATCTGAAATGGATATTGTTGTCTCAAGTGTCCGAGCTTATGTTAGTGCACTAAATAAGATGCTAGCATACAAGAATAAACCTAATCGAAAAGTCTCGGCGGAGAATTCTCACGTTTCTGCTTCAGATGCTGTCCCTGCTGGTAGTGCCTGAAGAGTTTAAGATCTTGATCTCACTTAGTTTCTGTACAAATGTGGGATGTGAGCCTTCTTTTTGTCTACGTTGCCATGGAATGTTGTCACCCAGTGATTTTTACTGTGAATATTGAGTATTTGTTCTGTGTTACTGAGAAGAAACCTCCTAGAAAGGTCCTTGACTCCTTGGGGACGGCATAGGTCATTCATCTGTTTGCTCCTCAGTGTAAACTGTAATCGTCCCTCCTACAGTCCGTTTCTATTTTTGTAGACTGTAATATGTAACTCGAGATTGCACTTAAGGTGGTTTTATGCAGAGGATTGTCAGAATTTTGAATTTCATGCCTAAGAATAAAATTAAATACTTTATTGCTTTCTACTTTGTCATCTACCCACACCCCCTCTCAAGTTTAATGTGCAGCTTTAATATAGAATGGAGCAATACATCACCAGGTTTCTTGCCTCTGCTTCTTTAAGTTGCATCTATGAGATGCTGAGAGCCAAAATTTGAGATAAGCAAATTTTAAACTTTATTCAAGTTACAAAAGTCTGGATAATTAAATAGGGATTGGAATAGCTAGATAAGAGCTAGAGCTTGGCATGGGCCGGGCTGGGCCGGCACGAGCCTGCTATTGGCACGACATGGCACGAGGATCGAGGAGTGGCCGTAGGCCGTGCCGTGAAAAAAAATAAAAAATTCGGCATGAGCTCGTGGGCGGCACGGACTTTTGGCCCGTGGCACAACCCATAATAATAATAATAATAAAAACTATAAATAATAATAATTAATATAATAAAAAGAAATAGAATAAATTAATAATAAAAATAACGGGCTGACTCGTGGCACGGCACGACCCGGCCTGCTAGGCACATGGACTGTGCCGTGGCGCGGGCTAGGTGTGTAATTTGAAGGCACGACACAGCACGGCCCGGCCCTTCCTCCGGCTCGAATTAGCACGGCCCACGGCGGCACGGCACAACCCAAATTCCAGCTCTAATAAGAGCCATATAAAGATGAGTTTTAAAAAGAAAACTAGTGTTTGGACCGTGGATAATGTTTAGAGTTACTCCGTATTGCATTAATTTTGAAAGAATTAACATAAAATATGGCAATATCTTAGCAATTAACATTTTAGTACTCAAACTTGAATTTGTTGGTCCAATTTGAAACATACTTCAGCAACCTATGAAGTAAATCTTGCAACCAACATTTTGTTCTGATGTTATCGACAAGTCTACAAAGTTGGCCAGAAAAAATAAAAATTTTAAACGCTTTGTGTAAATGTTATTGTTACAAAAGCAATATTTAAAAACATCATACATTTCCCCCAAAACCCACCATTAAGAAATAACGAAAGAATTATGGCTGACTTTACAATTGACATTGCCTTTTCAAACAAGCCAAGAGATACATTCAGGTGGTATTTTTCATGATCAAGTATAACTTCTTGGATCGAGTAATTCACTAAGAGAGAAATGTACTCTTCTAAGTTATACTCTCACCAGGAGAAAGCAGGTACAACATAGGTGGGATAAGTGCCACATTTGGATGCCAGCTCTTGTACTTTTGAAGCTTCAGCTACTTCACCAAAATGGTGAAGTCCAAGTTCATCTGCATGGATGCCTCCTGTGATGAACACAGACTGCATTCCAGCGACATTTGCACCCATTATGTCATGGTGCAGTGAGTCTCCTACAGCAATGCATTCTGGTGCATCCACACCTGCCATGGCCATGGCTGATTCATAGATAATCTGTCCAAGTATGTTCAACCTCAGATTTTAGTTTTGAAGGCAATGAACAAGGGTGATCAACTGTGACAAACATCCCAATTTTATTTGTCCATAGGAAAAAATAAGCATTGTAATTGACAAGGTTTGTACTTTGTATCATCAATAGGGATGTTTTGTCCCTATCGTGTCTCATACAGTATTTATGTTCTGCTCTCCCTGAACCCGCCACACCATCAACATTCATCATTAATTTAAACTACCTAATCTTAAAGTTGTGAAATCTAAATAGGAGGGACACAAGAACAAACACCAATCCCCATATACAGAATTACAGGACAATTACATCAGAATTCAGTGCAAACATCTCAAGACATCAACTGGGTGACATAGATGATTACCTCATTTCAGAGGATACTAGTACTAGTAGATGAATGACACATTATAGTTAGCCTCTTAAAAACGACAATATTCAATCTACCAAGATGACCAAGAGGATAGAATGGCATGATTTTACCTTTCCAGGCTTTCCCATCCACTTGACTTCTCCGCCAAGTTGCTCATATTTTGCTGCAAGCGTTCCTATAAATGAAATCATAACAGGGAATCAATACATAAGAATTTAGGAAAGGAGCAAGCAGACAGCTAACAAATCAGATATTGTATTGGGAATGCTAACAGTTTAACACATTACACTCAGGTCAAAACATTGGTTTTTTTAGCTAGAAATTGTTGCATAAAGCAGTTCACAGTGCAAATTTGTTACATTTGAAATAACAACCTACCAGGCATAACTCGAAGTGCTCTGGCCTCAACAGTTACATAGTCTGGATTGGCCACCACCATAGGGATTTTTCTTAAAGCACATTGTTCCAATATTTTTTCAAGTTCTTCCAGTTGCTTTGGAACAGCAGATCCAGAAGAAAGCCCCAGTGCTTCAGTGCCATGGACCAAAATGAATTCAGCCTCTTCAACATTATCCACAACTTTCAGGTCTAGACCCTGAAAAAGTTGCAGACAGGAAAGTGATCAGAATTTTAGGTAACCATCTTTGATTTTTTACCTAGCTGAGTAGAAAAAAGATACTACAATTCTGCATAAATACGAATAAATACCTATCCATTCAATAAGTAGGAAGCTGAGGTGATGCCAAGATAGAAAATTGACATAAGGAATTTGACACTCTATTCTTTCTCAGCTATAGTTGGAAATAAAAATCAATTCATCCTAAAAGAAACATTTCAGCAAGAAGATAGGAAAAGGAAAATAGATTTCGGTGAACAGAAAGAAAAGACTAAATGCTCCACTCCAAATTCTCTCTAATTGTATGAAATTAAGAGCTGGTCTTTTAATTTTAAGGGTGGGTGGGGGAAACAGGAATAGAAGATCAAATATGCAACATACATCAAGAGATATGGCACCCCGGTCACTCCAGGTCAAGTGGATGCATGACTTTCCAAGCGCTGCAAACCAAGGATCATCTCGTCTGTCCACAGTGACAAAGAAGGGATATTTCAAACAAGAGTTTACACTTCAGAGGATGATCATAATGATTGAAAGTACAACAATAAAGCAGCCATTAGCAAAATCAATGTAATCCTGATCACCAGTAAAAAAGGAAACACCAAAATGGAAACATGATTAGAAAACACCTTAGCCAAGAAATAGAAGAAGCGCATGCAATTAATATAAAATGTAAGGTAATCCTCTATGTTAATAGGATAAGTTTGATCTATATTAATAGAAGTAGATCCTCTGGTATTGGTAGTCCTATCCAAACCCCATGGTATTCCACAGGATAAGGCTAAGATATCTTCTATTTGTGAAGAATATCGATGAATGTAACCTATTGTTTGATCTATTTCGCCTCTTTTACCTTATTCATGTAAGAATAAAATCTTTCTTCTTAGCTGTTGAAGACACTGCAATGAACAGGCCTAATGGGGAGGTGCAGTGTAGGCAACGCTTACTTAGTTGTTACAATAAGCTTGTAGAGGAAGGGAGTCAGTTAGACTTAGAGATGCTATATACAGATCAGTGAGAGAGAAAGTGGGATGAATATTATTGAGTGTTTACTTTACACTTTGGGAGAGAATAAGCCTCTGGAAAGTTTGTGTACCAGTCTCTTGTTTATTTTCCAGAATATCAATCTAATTCATCTTCTTACTTTAATTTCTGTTATTAAACCCTGTCCAGCTATATCAATTCAAAGCACGCACCTACATAAGAAGCACAAGCTGCACAACACCAGGCGTAAAGGAGCACAAACAATTTTCTTTATCCAGATGGTATATATTTACAAAAATCAGTGTCACAGCATAAAACTCTTCTCATTTATTTTACGTAGGATGATTTTGGTAAAGTTGACAGAGCAATAGTGATAGTTTCCATGCCCAAGACACCATATTATCCATGTGTCTCCATGCTACACATGTACAATAATAACATTTTATGCCTCAAAATTTAATTACAAAAAACCCATAAGTAAATCTTGTAACTACATGAACTTTCATGTGCATGTTTTCTATGTTACAATGAGCTGGTTAAGTAGTTTTTGAGGATGCATCTATATGATAGCTTCAAAGAAGTTCTACAGACTAGACTGCAAGGTACAGTGCATAATGAAAACACTCTTTGATGCTAATGGATGAAAAAGTGTAATGAATGGCATAAGTCAATGAGCCCATCATCTTCTACTTGCAAATTCTTAAGGGACATCAATCTTTTATTTGTTCTACTGGTGTATGATTAGAGCAGTAAGATAAAGGATCTACCAAAACAATTAAAATACTCAACCTTTCAAGGTATTGATGCGTCAATTCTCCACTGGTGATGGAACCTAAAAAAAGGTTAGGATCAAATCCCAAATTTCTCAATTTCTCAGTTGTCACAGATGCTCGTCTTGACGAGTTACTTATAACCACCATCTTAGCCCCAGTTTTGGCTAGCTTTTCCACTGTTTCCAAACAAGTAATTTTAAGCTTCAATCCATACCAACTTCACTAAAATTGAGCGCACAGATCAATAAACTTGCTTACCAAATACTTAAAAAAGTAACCACTCATAACATACATGTTGATATAGCACCTGGGTATGGCTTTTTTCCATCATGAAGAACTCCAAATTGATCTAGAAACCACGCCTGCAAGCACATCAACAAAATCAATTTTTTTCAACTTTAATAGTTTCTGTCAGCTATCCATGCACTCAGACTTCAAAGACACTTAAGAAAACGTAATGTTACATGAATCGGTCAGTTTCAGCAATTTCCATCACTTTCAATTCAGTTCCATAATCGAAATCATTAATACCTCGATTCTAACAAGCCTAAACTGGTTCTATTCTACATCCTCTATTGCAAATGATTGTCATGTTGTGACATTGTAAAAGAGTGGTGTAAGATCCACAAACATTTTTCGAAAAGTAGTGGGAAAAGGAGTTATTTTCTTCACCTAACAAGAACTTCTCCATTAATGATTGGCTTGCAACTGGAAATGACTTCGTATAATCGGGTATAAAAATAATAGAATTGTGTAGGATGGTGTTCAACATGAAATGTACAAAGAAGTTCCAAGCTAATAGTTCATAGGAACCAATGGATGCACTAGTATGCAATTCTTACACTACATTTTAACTCCTTGATTTAAATTAATCATCTCATCAATTAACAAACTAATAGTGCTCAAAACTTCTACATATTGATGCAAAAAATTCACTTGTATTTCAGCAGAATTCTCAATATATCCATATATATTAATCAAAATTTCCCATATCTTAATTGTAGAAACAAAATGTAAATTACCCTTAAAAGAAAATGTGCATATTATCAAAATCAACCCAATAATCTATATTTAATTATCAGAGATAAAATTTAAATTACCCACATAATTATAAAAATAGGATGATCAAAAGAACCAAATTTGCATAATACAGAAATCCAAATTAATTTAAATTCACATATTCAAATCAAAGGGTATAACGAAGTACAATTTAATTAAGTTCTGGGCAAATTGGCAGTGAAAAAACGCAGTGAAATAAGTAATTAGCTTAGAGATTAGCAAAATAATTAGAGTGAATAATGATGAAGTAAGTACCTTGAAACGACGAGTTTCAGCAAGGTGTTGAATACCAGAGAAGAACTGAAGATCGTTTGCTGAAACGCTTACCATCTTCTCCAATTCAAGCCACCACCTGAAATGATGCTTTGCAGTGAATATATCAAAGAGGGGTAGTGTTGGAATTTGACAATTTTTGAGTTTTTGATTTTTGAGTGCGTTTGATTTACTTGATATTACTAATTTTAACCATACTTATTTGAATTTAGAGCTCTTTCCCAAATTAAAGTCAAGAAGAACCGCAATTCCCAAATTGCAGCCAAAGTTTTAAGAATTCTCAAAGTACCGTCCACGTCACCGGTTCAGGAGGAAGAAATTTTAAATCCGGTCTACAGCAAAACCGCTACCTGAAGTAGCGGTTTTTACTAATAAACCGCTACTTCAGGTAGCGGTTTCTTTTTAATAAACCGCTACTTCAAGTAGCGGTTTTTGTTTAATAAACCGCTACTTCAAGTAGCGGTTTTCTAGCAGGTATAATTTCCTGATTTCACTTTCCTCTTTCATTTTCGTCTTCTCACCAAAATCCCATCCACGCCGTCCACCAAAATCACACCTCCTTCAACGGAAGCCGGCGCAACCAAGGAATCCACCGACGCCGCCGGAGCATTCCTCAGCAACGAAGGCCGCCGCTGTTGACGCCGAGGGTTCGACTTTAGTGGTCGGCTTCGCTAATTTCAGAAGAAACGTGCTGATCTTCTTGTTTGTGGTAAGTGCCCTAATTATTTTTTGTATTCAGTTATTGGGTTTGTTGTTTTTATTGAGTTTGTTGTTGTTATTGAGTTTCAGAATTGTATGTATGTGTTGTTGTTGTTGGTTTTGGTTGTGTTGTTGTTGTTAGTGTTCTTGTTTATTGTTGTTGTTATTGAGTTTCGGTTTTGGTTGTGTTGTTGTTGTTAGTGTTCTTGTTTATTGTTGTTGTTATTGAGTTTCAGAATTGTATGTATGTTTGTGGTTGGTTTTGGTTGTTGTTGTTGATTTACTTACCTTACATATAACCCTTGTAGAATTATTAATGGTTTCGATCACATTACTCAGTTTAGGTTGCTATAATTGCTGATTTTGAAAGTGAAAATAGAGCTTCTATACACAAAGTACATGAGCTCAAAGTACATGTAGTCATGACTTATGCCCATGTTGAGCTTCAAGAGGTATTAAGACCTTCATAGCTCAGTTTAGGTTGCTATAATTGTGTAGTTTGCTTGCTTGATGTTAGGACATTGCCACACTGTTAATGAATTTTTGCAATCTAATATCTTTGATTAATAATGGTCTTTTCTAGAATGAAACATGGAGGTTCCGAACTACCCTCTATATTGCTATTGGGGTGGAGAAATTGTCCACAAAGATAGCGATATAACGTATAGGGGTGGGAATCAAAAATTTGTGTTTGTACATTCTGCGATGACATATTCACAAGTTCTGAACAAGCTATATGAAGAATTGAGTGTTGATCCTGGAGGTGTGGAGTTGAAGGTGTTTATGCGTTATCCTATGGCTGGGGCATATGTTGCAATTCCGTTAAATGACGACAACGCTGTTAGAGCTATGTGGATTGCTGTGACTCAGAGTTCTTCTGTTGCAATGCAATTGTTCATTGAACAAGTTCCAAAGGAGCCAGTTGTGCAAACTAACACTGGTTCCTTTCCGGGGATGGATTTTTTTGGTAGTGTGGATCAACCGTTTTCCACTGGTGTTCAAAGTGTGGGCATAGGGTCATTCACAAGAATGCTTGTTGATCCACATTATGTCAATGACCATCTCTCACAGTTTAGGTCTCCGGCCTCATCGCCTAATGTTGGAACCTCGACAAGCACACAACCACAAGGCATTCGTGATTCTCTTGACCCAAACAATGTTGATGTATTTGGCGATGCAGAGATGAATGACACTGATGAAGATGATGATGAAGAGGTAATTGAAGCTCGTGATAAGGCAATTAAAGGAAGCGCCCCCACTTCAGACTTCAATGAAGTGGCGCAAGTTGATCCTCGTTTGAATAACTCATGGATGTCTTGGTTAGGAAATGAGACATATAACAATGGGGGAGAGTGGCGATGCTGTGTCACTCTACTACTTGTCGTTCCTTCGAGACTGGGAGACAGCTTCGACCTACAGCTGGGGGAGTGCGACTCTTGGTTTTTTGTATCGGCAGCTATGTCGAGCATGTCAGCGAGATTCAAGACAGATTGGAGGCTCGCTCATCCTACTACAGTTGTGGTCGTGGGAGCATATTACTATTGGCCGACCATACATTAGGAGGCCTCGAGATCCGCCACAGGAGGACCCTGAGGCTGAGGATGAGGATGACATTTTGGGGACTCAGCATCAGCGAGGTGTTGACCCTTTGGCGTGCAGGTACAATGTTTGCTTCAAGTTCATGTTCTTACAATTCTATCTTTCAAGAATTATTATTAACATGTCTTTATAGGTGGTTACGTGTCCATCTATCATGTGCGCATACTGCTTCTGGACTACCATACTACAGAGATGCGTTTGACCATCAGCGCGAGGACCAGGTACAATCGGTGTTTCTTTTTTTTTGTGCATTGTATTTCTTCCATTATGTTAGTCATATACATGTTGACATACTTGTTTTGGGAATTAGATGATTTGGCAGCCATATACTGAGGCGGTGATGGATCGACTTCCGGAGATTTGTCGCTCAGACATGCACATTTGGCGTTCACGGGCACCTCTGATATGCTTTGACGTCGTTGAGTTCCACCTCCTAGACCGAGTCCTTCGTCAGTTCGGGTTAGACCAGCCGATCCCACAGGATGTAGACACGGACGTTGCTCTACACATGAAGGATCGAAGGGGACAGCGTAATTGGGAGATTCGGCATTCGGACCATGTACACGAGTGGAGTCGACAAGAGGCATTAGTCGTCCAGGGATACCCGTTCAAAGTAAACCGCTACTTGAAGTAGCGGTTTTCCAAAATAAACCGCTACATAAAATAGCGGTTTTTTGTAAACAAACCGCTACTTCAAGTAGCGGTTTTAAACTAAGAAACCGCTACTTGAAGTGGCGGTTTATTGCAAAGAAACCGCTACTTCAAGTAGCGGTTTACCCTGGACCGGAAAAAAAAAAAAACCGGTTTTTTAACCAGTGCTTACGTGGACGGTAGAATGGGAAAATAAAAAGATTTGGCTGCAATTTGGGAATTGCGGTTCTTCTTGACTTTAATTTGGGAAAGAGCTCTTGAATTTATCGATCTTTTCATTCCTATATACTTAGGCCTTGTTTGGTTCACCTTATTTTTACTGATGTGATCTGGTCTGGTCTGATCTGATCTGATTGTCTAATTTGACCAAACTTTGACCTTAAGTGTACGATAATCTATAAGGAAAAAATATATCAAGTGGGATCTTGTTAGATTCGTAATAATGTGTAGTTTATTAATATGTAATTTTCACAATTTTTTTCATTACGAAATTAAGAATATTTAGCAATAAAAAACCGCACATAAAACGATGTTCTGATCTGAACTTGTTTTTTCTGATGTGATCTGATCTGAACTTATTTTTTCTGAAATAAGTAAAAATAAGTTGAACTAAACAAGGCCTTAGGTGTCGTTCACTACACCTTATTTGAATTTATCGATCCTTTTATTCCTATATACTTATGAGATCAACTTCTGAGTTTGACTTTGGAAGATGCAAACCAAGCTTAAAGTTAGAGGGAGAGTTAAGAGACAAAAGCTGGGATGTTGTGATTCCTCTTTCCCACCAACGAGTGAAACTCCTTGATAAGGCAGAATAGAAAGGGCATCCGAACCAATAAGTATTGTGTAAAAAGGATATGTACACCAATAAAAACTTGTGTTGAAAGTTTTAGCTCCAACTAAGGCCATGTTCTATTCACCTTGAAAAATAAGTTCAAATAAGAGTTAAACTTTATGTTCATAAATATATACTTGCAACAATTTGATTGACATGTGTGCCAATACCCAAGTTTGACCACAAATATATGAAACTATGTATCACTCTTTAAAATTTGATTGACGCCTTCACCAACATCCTTGGTCTTGTCGATTTGCCAGACAAACATAATTTGGTTGGAGCCATCACATAGAGGCGATCACTAGATGTTCCAAATCCCAACAATCTAATTATCTAGTAATAGTTGTTGTAAAATAAGAGGTTTTCTATAAGGAATCATTAAAGTTTAGAGGACCTGTTTTCTCTATAGAGATGCCACGGTATTAGTTTCGGCTACGAAAAAGAAGTGAACAATAAGATCAAAAGTTTGATCTTATAATCAATGGAATAAAATTGGTGTGTCGTGAAGCAAATTAAATCCACTGACTTGAAAACGAAATTTCGGCGCAACCGGGGTGCACAATTGTATTTGTCGGCACGTTCCCTAAGATTAACACACAACTTCCACACAAAGGCCTTTTTAGGTGGAAGGTTAGAGCCAAGTAACTAATGTCCAATAAAGAAGAGAATTTGTTTAGCTTATGAGTTTTTAATCTCTCGTGTATTATAATAATAAAAAAAATGAACAAGCTATTTATAAGCAAGAATATAAGATGAAAAGAATGAATCTAGTCATCAAAAGGGTGATTAAATAAGAATAATGAGATTGATTAAATCACCATAATCATTCACTTTAAGAAAAAGCCTACAAGGGAATCCAAGATAAATAAGAAGAATACCAAGATAAAGAAGAAGAATACCAAGATAATGAATTTAGAAAGAAAAATTCTAATCCACAACCCACCCGTAGACAAACATGGTAGGCCACGACCTACTTGTGGAGTAAACTGATTAAACTCTAAAACCAAGGCAGTTATTTCTTTATTCTAACAAATCACATCTTCCTCTCTTTACTACAACAATCCCCCACTAAAGAGATGGAAGAGAACAACAAAAATAATAAGAAGCAACATATTAGGCTTAAGAGGAGATTAGTACATAACACTAAGATATTACATATGTAGATTGAAATCTAGTGCTTAGTGAAATGAGGCAATGAATTACAAGTACAAGGGTGGACAACATGGTTCGAAAATGCGGTTTCGGTCGCGATCGCAAAAACGGTTGCGTTATTCGGTAACGGAATTGATGCGTTAGTTGCGTATTGCGTCGCGGTTTTCACACAATTTTTTTTATGTTTATTATGAATAAAAGCATTATGATTTTTCTCATAATATTTGGAAATTTTATATTCTTATAAATACTACTTCTATTGTAAATGGAGTACATTTTAAAAATTAAACCCCCTATTGTGTGTGGTAGACTAGTAGTAATTGAAAAGGGGAAAAAGGGTGGGGGTCATGTAGGAAAAATAAAAAAGAAAAGAAGAAGATATGTTACTTAGTAATTAGCTGGTGGGGTCAGGTCAAATTTCAAAGAAAAAATAAAAGGGTAACCTTTCCAGTTGTCATGCAATCCCCTCCCAACCACATGTTATTTTTTCAATAAAAATATCTTTATGCTGCAAAACAATCGACTTTAATGGAGAACTCGGAAGCTCGCCAGAACACTACTTAAGAATCTCGCAATATTTCTGAAAAAGCCCTGATTCGCGCGTTATTACGGGCGATTCATGAGTATATCGATCGAATCGGACCATTCAGTCCAAAAATGCGTTGTATTTCAAAGATCCGCACCAAGATGCTAAAACTCGGTTCGATAAAACGAAATCCGTTACGAAGATCGTCCGAATCGTGATGGTGGGCAGACCTTGAAACCCTTAGGCTCTTGATGAAGGAGTGGACTACTAACCTTGAAACTCCATGATTTAATTCTGACCCTCACATCACATACCTTTGTCCAAAAATTTACTTGAACTCTGTGAAGAGATGCATTTATTTATAGCCAAGTACATTCACCTTAAGTCTAGTGGAATACTACTAACCTTGAAACTCCAAGATTTGATTATGACCCTCACATCACATACCTTTCTCCAAAAATTTACTTGAACTCTGTGAAGAGATGCATTTATTTATAGCCAAGTACATTCACCTTAAGTATAGTGGAATACTACTAACCTTGAAACTCCAAGATTTGATTATGACCCTCACATCACATACCTTTCTCCAAAAATTTACTTGAACTCTATGAAGAGATGCATTTATTTATAGCCAAGTACATTTACCATAGGTCTAGTGGAAGTTATAGGAAAACCGCCCAAGTTTTTCCATAGAAGATGGCTAGTCTTTACAATCACACAAGTGAATCACAAGCACTTCTAATAGTACTTAGTCGATGGGGTTAAAACATGTTCATAAGAGCTCAACAAATGCTACATTGTAGCTATTAACCCCCACAAGACCATGGATTCATTAAGAGCTTAATGCTCAACCTCACCACAATCATAAACAATGGCGATTCTAAAGTTTTAGTGCGTCCACTCAAACATTTGGATTCATTAAGATTTTAAAGACTCAACCTCAAACGGTGGATCAATCAAGTGCGTCTCAAATAACACCAACCTAAATGGTTTATTGGTTCATTAAAGTTCAAAAGAACTCATTCTCATTCAAGCATTACAACACATGTCTTAGGGATAGGAAAGTAATGCTTTTATATTTTCAATTGGGCTTAAAACCTATCCCTCTTGACATTTCCTCAAGCTATTTAGGATGTCCTTATTTATTTCCTTATCATAGTGCATAAATCTCTTTGCCAGAATATTTTTTCAATAAGAAAAGCTAGCATGCATGTTATTAAAACCAACATTGACTTGTATGCACAAATGATTAGGAAATTATGTCACGTTTACTTTTAGATGAATGAATCAACGAGACATCTTCACAACTTGAGATATGAAAGTTTTACGCAATCAAGTACAATCCTTGTAAATAGCATAGCCACATGACTGAACTAACTTCATCAATCACCAATCATCAACACTTGCTTTTAGAAAAATTTCAAAACAACCTTTCCCGAAAGCTAGTGTATTTCACAATCTTCTTACCTAGCAAGATTCTTTAAAAAGATGATGCAAGGCTAAATGCATTTAATAGTTCACTTATAAATTTGTAAAATACCACACCTCAAGTATTTCACAAACAAATGCTATGTTAGATAAAACGCAACGTATATCATATATCACATTGCTAAATGCATTAGCATATACAACTCAAGACAGATATACTTTAGGATCTCTTCAAAATATAAAGACTTCATGCTAATTAACACAACTATATTCCACGTGAATGAATTAAACTTTAAATATCTATGAACTTGTAGAAAGAATAAATGAAAGATTATTGAAATTAGAGTATATAGTTAAATAATTAATTATGTATGTTTACACATATATAATCACTTTAGATACAAAAATTAAGAAGGTGGGGACTCTTGGGAAGGAGGGGATGAATTAGAGGGTGGTTCCTCAACTTTCTTTCCCCTCTCTCTTTGCTTAGCCATGGCTTGTTTCATGGCTTCCTTCCTCTTTTTACTAGCTAGAACTTTGGCTAGGACCCCACTTACATTTGGGTCCTTTTTCTCTTGATCTTCTGTTTTTGGGGGTGGTCTTCTTGCTGCTGCCCATGCTTTGTCACTGATATTTAGCCCCAATGCTGCAACAGCTACCCCCAAAGCAACTCCCAATATAATAGCATCTCTGGATACCCAAAAGTACTAGTTCAACGGTCCGTTTGATAAGTGGTAATGTACAAGCATTTCCAAAAATATTAAATCAACAGTTTGTTCAATAAGTAGTAAAATAAAAACATTTTTAAAAATATTAATTCAGTGATTCATTTGATAAGTTAGTGTCTAAATAGTGTAAATGTCAAAGCATCACATTACGGATGGATTATCATAAGACACAACATTTTAAAATTTTGTTATTCAATGTTACCTAGATTATTTTTTTTTTTTTAATGAAATAATGCTTCAATTGTAAATTATGAGAATTTGAAACAGTTTGACGAGAGATGTAGCTATTTATTGACTTATAATTATTATACAAAATATGGCTTGAAATGATAAGCTACAAATTTACAATATATGACAAAGTTAAGCTTTGTTCAGCATTAATTAATGTGTGATAATCTATCTATACTACATGCAATAATTATTATTATGTCAGTTCAATAACATTCATTAAGCTAAATTTTGATTTGCCATCATCTTTAATTCAGTATGAACCCAATTAAGCTTTTAAAAAAAATTATACGTATAGCACGTATAACATTATACTCCGTATCACACATATATAAATTAATTAAAATAAATCGAAGATTACGATAAGTAAAAAAAAAAATACCTGCGTGGGGTAGGAGTTAGAGATAATGGTGCATCAACTGAGACATTTTGAGGAGGAGATACAGAAATCATACGAACATTAAGACATTGTGTATGAACTTTGTTAGGCTTAGAAAATGCAATTGTTGATGATCTTGTAATTAAGCTGGAAACTGTGCTTAATGTTTGGCTCATTTTTCCAACTCTACTAGAATATAATTATTTATTTTTGTTTGGTTTGAAATTTCAGGTCTCAAATCAAGTGGATGATGACATTTTTCTCCCTTTGTGTTGTGTTTCGGTCCATGTATTTTTTTGTTCATAGGAAATTTAAAGCATATGTTAAAAATATAAATGAAATTTATGGATATGTTATGTACATAGAAAGTGTTATCTATTGGTTGATTTTTGATAAGGTTTTCATATTGCGTGGACCCTTTTTAGAATCTATGTGTCTTAATTTGTTCTTCGGTTTTTTTTTTTTCTTTTTTTTTTTGGATTATAGTAAATTTACTGTTTTTTTCTTCAATTTTTAGGCATTATTATTAGTATATTTATACATATAAAAAAACACATTTTTTTGTGACGTTTTGCTGGATGTATGTTGATGTGTAGTTAATATATATATATTTTTATTACACCTGTATAATAATTGAAGATAAAGTCAAATGTGCGCATTGAAAAAACTATGCGTAAAATTAAATGAGACAAACAAAAAGAACGTAGAGAATAAGCCAGAATGAGTCAAATGTTGACGTTTTGTTTTTAGACATGACGAAATGCCAAGTTGTTCAAGCTATGCTTGCTCATTAATCGAGTTTAAAAGTTTTGTTTAGCCTCAATTGTTTACTTAACGAACAATTTTTAGCAGAACTTATTCTTATTCTTGAGTGTATCGGGGTAGGCATTATACACAAGTAGTTGTAACACCATATTTTGGATGACTACTGCTATGAACTGAACTAATCACCAACAAGAAAAGGATAAAAATAAACGCTTTTCAATTTTAATAACACGAGTTTTATTACCCGAAACCTGATATATTTAATCAATGAATCAAAATTGATACAGAACATTACAGCAATGAATATAAGCAGGAAAAAAAATGGCTGCAAAGAAACTAATATAATCATTGTGCTATACACACTATTGCACAAAAAAGAGAGAAAACAAGCGGTTTGTTGAATAGATGACTTGTATTTAGACAGCAGAAAGGCCAGCCCATTTTCCAAGTTCATATGGGTCAGCATAATAGTATAACTTTACTCTATTGGCCAGGGAAAGCCCTGCAGCCAAGGGTGAACTTCTGTACTCGGCATCATCTTGCTCTGCAGGGTCATCAATATATGCAGCGACATACCCGAGAAGCCTAAACGTGATTCTACGAGTCTGCAATTGTCTTGGCAAATCAAAATACATTGGAGTTCCAGGCCTGGTTTCTGGCAATCGATATTCCGCAACTGTTACCATGTTAGTATCCTGCAAAATAACAAACAAAATTACTCAACTCTAAATTTCGGATTTGATTAAATTGCACGATTCAGTATATGGCATCTCTATCAAACCACAACACCCAAAAATAAAACAAACAACCCAATTACAGACACACATCAGGAAAGGCATCTCACAAACTCACACCAGACGTCCAGACCTAATGTAAAAAGAACCCATCCTTACTGTCTTACTGAAGAAGCCCCAGACTGGGAAAACAAAAGGAAACAAAGACAATTTTCCCCCTTGAAAAACTAAATGAAGAGTTGTCCTTGATAGAGCTTCTCAGAGAATGTAAGTGCTATAAATTTGCCATCCTTAAAAAAATATGGAGCGGCTCACCTGCTGAACAGACTATACTGACCCACACCATCTAGCAGTTACAAAACTAAGTTTGTTTCACATGAAAGAAAGTTATTTCTAAGAAAAAGAAAGAAGCATGTTTTTTGTCATTCCAAATTGAAGCTCTGACAACCAGTCACAATTGGCAACCAAGGAAAATAGCATTTTTACGAGAATTCTCATCCGGCACACATATACATAGTCTTATTTTATCATGTGGAAAGCTTTACCCTGTACATGATCTAACTCTTCAAGCTTATTGCAGAATTTATTTCTTGTTAATGCAGAGTCTATGCTGTTAGTTAATTTGGCTAGTGAACTTGATCCAGATTTCTTCTATATGATTTCCTTCCATATAAGGCTTAAAATTGTTCACCGGATGAGTAAACTACAGAGCTGGATACTGAGTATTATAGTATCCGGTCAAAGTTTGCAACTACAAGTGAAACAAACAATATACTTCCACAACATATTATATATGAAGCAAGAAACAAGCTGGTGTTCACAATTGGTGACCATGATTACCTGGAGTACAGATACTTGAATAAATAACACGGCAGGTGTGATATGTCTTTCTTCTACAAGTAATACTGCAGAGGGATCCCAAGCATTCACATCAGATGTTGGTGAATGAGTTGTCCGAGGTCTAATAGCACTAAACGCATCAAGACGAAAACCAGCTACCAATGGCGAAGCAGGTGATAGATACTGCTCTAAGACAAAATCATTCTCGATTAACCTTTCAGTCTCAATTGGAACCTGAAATGCAAAGGCAAACTTGCTGTGTCAGTACATATGAAATTTGACAGGTGGAAAATGATACAAGCAGAATAATGCGGAGTCTTAGTAGCACCAGGCAAATATAAGCATCACATGAACCTTAAATCTATTTAGCTGAGGTGGCTTCTGCAGCCAATTTTGCAATTTTAACTGTTCTGAACCTTCTGGTGCTGTGAGCTCCATGTCCTTTTTCAATGAAGTTCCAAGCACAAGAATTCTTTTTGCATGAAGACACGGATCTCTTTCATCTAGGCTACCGAAAGATGCACGCCTAGTTGGTTGAACAAAAGGATTCTCATCCAGTGACAAAAGATTGAAATCACTCCCAAAATTCACAGAAGCTGAACCAGCTCGTTGAAGGCTTAGCATGATCCAAATGATGCGACACCGAACAGGATTCCTGAAGGAAAAGTTGATGTGCCGGGGAGCAGTCCCAACGGCATCCAAATTTTCAGGTCCGTAGTACTCTGGCGAAGATTGCAAGAAAGATTGCACTTCCCACTTTCCCACACATGACCTTTCCTCCTTGCTTATTTTATTGCTGGCCCATATTTGCACCTATAGTAGAATAAAAATGAAAATTCTAGTTATGCACAACCCCAATAAGCTAATGGGCATAAATATGTAATCAGTAGTCAGTGCAAAAGAAAGAGGGGCTGAAAAATAGACAAGGTTTACCATCTTCTTACAGGAAAGAACTAGCAACTGGTCTAGTTAATAGAAGTATTGGCAAAGTTAGTCGTACCCCTTTGTGATGTTAATACAGGGGTGGTTTGTGAGAAGAGAAGCTTAGCAGTTTCACCCCGACTATACCTGTCTACGCTGAAGCTATTAAGTTACACATTAGGAAATTGGAATTTAACTAGGTCTATTTATCCCACCAAGTGCTGAAAGGATAATCTGGACTCACAAGATACCATTAGCAGGATAGGGTTAGAGTTTACAACTCCATTTTGGGAAAATCTTTAATATATTTATGATTCAAGCACAAGGATGAAAGAGAGTTTGGGGATCGTGTGTCAGGTGTGAATTGAGAAAAAACAAAAGGAATGATCCAGGGACAGGTCTGATGAAGCTTGTTAGTCGAAAAATTAATACAAAAAGGGTAGTCATCAATAATTACACTAGCTTCAACGATAGTTCCCATACTGCTCAAAGCTTCAAACCAATCAACAATAAGAATATGACATTGTACAAGAAACTTTATAATACTTGTGCCATCTCTATCCTCTCCCCCATCAATTAATTTATGTAGTGACACTTTTAGAAATCCAATCATAAACCAATAAAATTTTAAACAATAGGCGACAAGTTTTTACAAAAACCTATAATAAAGTATGAGATTATTTTTATGGACAGATTGGCTGTATTTCTAAACAAATATAGTCTCCACTAACGTTCTGCTTTACTATGGCCAGTTGTCTCCACTTTTCTTTTCAATTTATATGCTTATATCCATTTGGAAACCTAAAAATAGAACATAAGTACTGAATTTATTTTCCATCTAACCATAATGTCCTGAGTCATGACTATTGCTATTTATTTCACTATCTATATGCGTGATATAGAATAACAAACAAAAGACCATAAATTGTATATAACTCAACCAGTACACTTCACTGGCCAGGCACCATGTAAATTATAGAGCCAACACTTACAGTAGGAGCGTCGGCTTCTGAGTAGCCACATGGGCTAACCACTAGAGTTACTCCACTGACATCAGAAAGAGAACCAAGAACAATGGCGAACTCTATGCAATTGTTGTTTGGAGGAGCTCTCCAATATGAATGTTGGGGCCCTGAATCCAGAGGTGCGAATAATGACAAGGAGGGAGCTGCTCCTACAGCTGTCTCAATCTTCCAATACAAAGGGAAAAAAAAAAGACAGAATTATAATAGTTCATGTACACTCAAAATGAAAGTACCAAACAACACACACACAAAATAGGAGAAAAAAAAGTAATTAATTCATACTCTTTTTCAGCTTCTCAATTGATAACTATTATACCTAACGCCACTTTAATAGAGTTCATCTCCATAAAATACAGTATTTCTTGAAAATAAATCTAAGATCATGAAAAAGCAAAGGAAAAAAGTAATTAACATACTGTTTTTCAGCTTCTCAATTGTTTATCAAATCATTACTCCAAACTTGAAAAAGACATTTGGATTTTATTTATTTTTTATTTTTTTCTTCTTCTTCTTCTCTGCACAAGGTTCTTTAAACAAGTGGAGGCACCTTGGTTTGGTAAAAAGATAAAATATAGTGCATTCATATTTACACACTTCTAGAATAAATCGCTTCAATTGACCCATGCAACTAAGTTATCTCTTAAAAATAATATTAGAACAGCACAAGTAACAATAGTAATACATCACGAGAACAGAATGTCCTCGAGCATAGACAGGAAAAAAGAACTACAGGTAAGAACAAATGTATAATCAACTTACTACACTAAATAGTCTAATGAAAAAAAATCTACAAACACTGAATCACATTTGAGCTGGGGGGGGGGGGGTGGTGGGGGGGTTTCACATAATCACATGTCAAAAAATGAACTGAGTAAATATTTAAGTTGTCAATTACTCAAGTGTACCACATAAAGAGTATCATCTAATGCAAATTACTTAAAGACCTTAAAGTCTCCTAAATCTAACATGTTAAACCTAGATAGAAAAGAGAGCTTACCGAATACAAAAGGCTGGCTAAAGGGAATTCAGCTAACGATTC